CTATAGTGACAGAAAATAGTTGACTGAGGAACAGAAGGAGATTACAAAGAAGTGTAAGAAAAATTTTTGGGGGTAAGTGACATGTTCACTGTCTTAATTGTGGTGATGGTTTCACTGGCATATATCCAAATATATCAAATTGTGTATCTCAAGTATGTGCAATCTATTGTATGTCAATTATACCTCAGTAAAGCTGTTTAAAAATATCAATAAAGCTTGGTGATGTATTACTTGAAGATGCTACAAGCCCATTAATTATATTGGAAATATGACATTCAATGATGATTCAACAGATGCTTAAAAAAGGGGAGTACACAGCAGTTAAAAGGAATCATGAAGAAAATGAGAGGAATAAAGAATAACCCACACAGAAAGGGAGTACGGCAAAGAGCAGACACATCTGGGTTCAAATACCAGCTCTCCTCACTTTCAAGTAGCATGCCCTCAGGCAATGCTTCCAAGTCTATCTTCTTACCTGTAAATACACTCAGGATTCTTGTGCTCATTCAGATGATATACAAATGTGCCTGACACAGTTGCTGGTACATGATATATCCTTTATCAGTCTGAACTCCCTCCTTTTAGAGGTAGTTTAAACTTAGCTGGTAGACCTGGAAGTACACTGTTTATCTTGAGGTTCAGATGAGTACTTTTGGACATGTACTATGTATAAGGAACTGTGTCAGGCATGTTAATTGTTATTATGGCTATGCAGAAAGTCAAAGAACATAATGTAACTGGAGATACTTCTTCTAGAGGTGAAACGCTCTACATCTTTTGGTCTTGACTGTCACTAAGTACAGTGTGGCTGGTCTCTCAGTCTGTGAACACCAACTCAATAGACATACTCAGCTTGGTAATTTTCAGCACCTAGCAAAGGGTCTTATGAGTAGTGCAGGCTCAATACATGCTTATTGAATTGAATTAAGCTAATCCTGCTAGGAATTTGAAATGTCAGTTTTGCTAAAAGTGTGGGCATTTTGAGTCTGGAGTTTAGTTCAATAAAGAGACCACTGCCCATTTGGAAATATAAAATAAATACAAAAGCAACTGAAGATTTTTGCAGGCGCAGTATTATTTTGAATGGTTTACATTTATTTCACTACAAAAATCATTATTTTTTTCTTGGGAATTAACTCAAGCCAACAAACATTTTCATATTTTGAAAACAAAGTCCACTAGACTGCAAGGACTATTAGGCAGTATTGAGGCAGCTGGCAACCAAACTACCATCCCAAAAGGTTAAAAATATTCAATCTCCTGGCCTTTCAATCACATTATTCAACATGGTCTTTATAATGAGTGGAGTTAGAATTTATTTCTGTGCTCATACTTTTAAGAAGTCTGTACAACAGTGGAGGCTGTCGGTTTGCCTTTGTATAATAGTTGGGGGAAGTGGCTGAAGACAAGGAAATGATGTGAACACCGTTAGCCATAGTGTGAAAATCTGAGAAATAAAAGAACAGAGAGAATAAAAATAAGCTAATCTCCAACAAAGGACTAGATATCTTTGTCCCCATCATCCCACTTTTGAGAATCTGTATTACAGAAAAATTCCTAATATAGAAGAAAGAAATGTGTATAAAAATGTTTTTCAGAGTATTTTTTAAAGTAGTGAAATCTAGAGACAATCTAAATATTGAACCCATAAGATAATAGTTAAATAAATTATGGTACACTTTCCTGATGCTACAAAGGAATTAAAATGATTATAAAGATCATCCAGCAACATCGAATGTTAGATGAAAAACTATGCAAAATGAACTTTATTATGATAAATATGTTAAGAAGGGAATAGTAGAAAGAGGAAGGAATGCATACCAAAATATTATGTGGAAATACCATGAATATATACAATTTTTACTTGTCAGTTAAAAAAATAAATAGAAAAAGAGGAAGGAAATACACCAAATTGCTAACTGTGGTGATATAAGGATAGAGTTATCAATCATTTTCTCTATGTATTTTCCAATTTTTTTGTAATCTAGCTATGTAATCTTTTCCATTGTAAAATTAATATAATTTCAAAAGTTAGGTGGTCAAGTGGGTATGGTTTTGAGTACGTGAAGCAGGACAGTAAGAGAAGGGAAGCTGAGTGGCACAGGCTAGCTGGGTCACTGGCAGTAATCCAACACCAGGAGCAGTGTGCGGGCTCTGGTTACCAGCAACTGAGTAAATGTGTTGATAGATTGCTCTCCTTTTTAAAAAATGCTGCTATATTCTGTGATTCTTTTCTTTTTTTCTTCTATCCTATATTCTGCACCACAGCATGATATAGAAGGCAAAAGTTAATACCCAAATAAGCATAGTTCCTTCCTATTCTATAAGGTAAGTAGCCTGTATATTTTTGAAACATTTATCTTCCATAAGGCACTTTTCAGTTACACTGTTAATGTCTAACAGTAGTATTAATCATGTTTTCCAGATGACTAATGCTTTTGTTGGCATCTATAATGGAAGAAACAATTTAGTCCCCAGAATGTGTATTTTTGCTTCATGTTCCTCAGCCAGCCAACTGTCATGTAAAGAGATGCAACCCTCTAAATTATTTCAGTGCTGTTATTTAAAAACAGATTAAATAAATATTGGCACCTAATTAAGCTATTTTGTGCCTACATCTCTCCTTTATTTATATTGTTAGTAGATCTTCTACAAAATAAAATCTCTTAGTTGAAAGACACAGGCTCTATAAGACTGACTACAGGGAAGGAAAAAGGGGGGATGGGATTGCAAAACGTTCCCTTCTCAGAGGACATGATATGTTTCTAGATGAGCTGATGGTTTTGGACAGGTCTCAAAAATACCTGATTTACTCCACACTTACTCCAAGCCACATCTACTAAGCCACATGTACTAAGTACATCTTCATTCCCTTCCTTCACCCTTGTAAGCCCCCCCCTTTTAAAATCTCCTGTTAAAATTCTTTAAGGACCATCTCAAATGACATGTCCCTCACGGGGCAAACTTCCTTTCCTATTCTTCTAGCTGATATTGAGCTTTTCTGATAACATTTCAAAGAATCATGCAATTTTGAAGCTGGGGGGGATCTCAGAGTCTTTTAATCTAACTTTTAGAAACCCAAGAGAAGTGGTTGTTTCCAAGGTGTGCTGACGAATCAGAAGTAAGCAATTTCAAGTTTGCCACACAGTAGCCTAGTCATCCAATCTGTAAGTACTCTGAGGAGAGATCAAGTCTTGTTCATTTCCCATATATCCAGGAAGTAAGCCTGACGACATGTTCCAGCTCAGTTGATTTGGCTAGAAAAGGTACTGCCGTAGAAGCCAAAGGCAAGTGTGCCTGAAATTTGCTGTGATCAAGAACTCTACAAGAGAACAATCTGAAGAAGAGGGAATTATGACTTTTAAAAGATTCAACAGGAAGAGATATTCCATGATATGGAACATCTCTGTTCTAATGAAAACAGGGCAAGTGCATTACCTCCAAAGTCAAGTGGGTGAAATATACTCCCCCCAGCTGGATTATCATTAACAGTGAAATAAAAATAAACTTTCAATAGATTGTTTTTCCTTAAAATGTACACCCACGCACAATGCTTTTTAAATGTACAAGTGTATTCCCATTAGAAAATCACAATGTTATGTGAAAAAACTGATAAAGATTTCAGGAATGTTTAAAAAAACTTTGGCCATTTTCTCTATCAAGGATTCCTTATATCTGAAGAGTAAAAGCATTTTAAAGAGGCACTATGGAAACAGTGGGAAGCTGAATAAGACTAGAGTTTCAGCTTTTAGTTTGCTACTGTTGTATTCCCCCATTCATCCATTTCTTCCTTCGACAAATATTTATTAAGTATCTACTATGTGCCAGACACTTTGCTATACAGAGCAGTGAACCAGGCAGATATGGCAATTACATTTTACAGAAGAAGACAGACAATAAATAAAAGAAAAGTAAAGAAGACAAGTTCAAATTGTAATATAAATCATTAAGGAAATAAACATGATGTTAGGGAGTGAAGCCTGGGAGGTGGCAGTAGGAATTACCTTAGTCGGACAGCTACACATCACAAATCCACTTATGAAATATCAGGCAAATCACAGAACCTTTCCGGTACTCAGATTGCCAATATGAGAAACTAAGGTTGAACCAGAGGACATTAGAATGGAAAGAGCCCTTGGACTTGAAGTAAGAAAACTTCAGCTGCATCCTGACCTTGTCTGTAAGACCCTACCTGCATTATCTCTCTGTGAGGAGAGTGTAAAAGCTGTTAGGAACTGAAATCACCTTCAGACTAAGACCACACAATAAGAATGTTTCCTTTGCTTCTTTAAGGTTTTGTATAATTCTCTAGATGTTTATTTTCATTTTCACTAGAGAAGACCTCTGAAGACTTCAGAAACACTAGATTGTTTTCTATTCTCCTACTTTCAAATAAGAAGTATGTTTAGACCAGGTGTGATGGCTCATGTCTATAATCCCAGCACTTTGGGAGGCCGAGGTAAGAGGATTGCCACTTGAGCCCAGGAGTTTGAGACCAGCCTGGACAACATAGCGAGACCTCATATCTACAAAAAATAAAAATAATTAGCCAGCACAGTGGCATATACCTGTATTTCCAGCTACTTGGGAGGCTGGGGTGGAAGGATTGCCTGAACCCAGGAGGTTGAGGCTACTATGAGCTATAATCATGCCACTGTACTCCATCCAGCTTTGGAGACAGATCCTGACTCAAAGAAAAAAAAAAAAAAAGAACCGTATTTACTCCATGAATGGGATAATGAGTTTGGTAGACAGGCACTGACAACCCAATTAGTGATAATATATTCTTTGTTGCACTACACAAAAACCAACACTGATTTTTTTTCTCTCTTTTCCTATAATAAGTTTAAATCAATTAGTGAAAGATTGAAGAAAAAAAATCCTAATCACTAGCATATCATTATCTTTTTAAAAAAATTGGCTATTATTACATTTGGCTGTAGTTAAAGAACAGCAACCTTCAATGAAAATTAGATCATATCCAAGAAAAGAAATCGTACCGAGTGTAAAGTGCCATTACTGGTCACTGCAGGAGGGCGGGCCCATCGCTCATTTTCCAATTCTTCCATGACTTGGTTCATGGCACTCTTTAGCCACGTGTCCACAGAAACACCAATCTGTTTTAGCAGGTCCAGCCGGGCTTCAGCTTTCAACTTAATTATCTAAGAGAACCAAGAAAACAGTCAGAAACCAAGGCACTTTTCTCAAATTAATGAAATTACTCACAATTTATTAATTAGAGCAATCTTAATATTCACAAGAAATTCTTCTGTGGCATGGATGCTAATTTTTTACCCAGAGGGAGGGGAAAAGAGGGAGGAGAGGAGGGAGGAGCAGGGAGGGAGAGAGAATACAAATACAAGAATAGCAATCAGGGCCTCCTGACAATGGCAAGCAGCATACTTGCATTTTGACAAGAACACAGAACTGATGATACATCCAGTATAACTTATAAACAGGAACAGACAAATGTGCCATAAAGTCTCTTTCTTTTTCTGTTAATAAGAATATGCAACAGAACATCCTGAAACGCAGCATTTTCATTACCAGTCTAACCCATCTCAACTTTTTCTTCTCCTCAATAATCCATCTTTTATAGTCTGTGAATGACCTCATCATGTCACTCCCCTGCTTAAAAACTTCCATGATCAAATTATTTCGGCCTGGTAGTGGAAACTACTCAGAGAGGCTGAGAGGAGGAACTCCTGAGCCCAGGAGGTTGAGGCTGTGGTGAGTTGTGATTGTGTCCCTGCACTCTAGCCTGAGGGACATAGTGAGACTCTGACTCTAAAACAACAACAACAACAACAACAAGCCAACTGAACACAAAAAACTTCCATTAATTAATTCTTAACCAGGAATAAAATATCTTTCACAATTGGGCTTTCTTTCCACACACCCTATGCTTCCACACCACTGTCCTATTTACTGTCCCTCCAACATATCATGTGTTCTCAAGTCTTTGTTTGTGCCAGTCCCTCTGTGGATAATGCCTCTACATTGCTTTCTGATGCCTTGTGAGCTCTTATCTTTTGAGGGTCAGTTCAAATCTTATCCTTTCTACAAAGATTTTCCTAAGTAGTTCTTCTTCCTTAGGCAGTTAATCACTCCCTTCTCTCTGTTCTTAAAGCACTGTATGTAGATCTAATTATAATGTGATAGGCGTTAAGTTATACTTAGCTATTTAACTAAGTGTATCTTTTTTTTTTTTTTTTTGAGTTGGAGTCTCACTGTCCCCCAGACTGGAGTGCAGTGGCCGTTACCGGCCACTGCAGCCTCGACCTGCTCTGGTGATCCTTCCGCCTCAGTCTTCCACGTAGCTGGAACTATAGGCACACGCTACTACGCTCGGCTATTTTTTTTTTTTGTAAATTTATTGTAGAGATGAGGTCTTGTCAAGTTCCCAGGCGGGTCTCGAACCCATGGGCTCAGGCAATCCATTCACCTCAGCCTCCCAAAGCACGGGATTACAGGCTGAGCCACCGAGCCCAGCTAAGTGTATCTTTTTTATATAACTAGGGGATCCCTTAGGACTAAAGCACTGATACTCAATGCTATTCTCCTGTTGTGTGTTCAGTAACATTTTTTTTTTTAAAGAGTATCACTTCAACTGCTTTTTCAAGGAAAGTATTTTACTTTGAATAGACATAACTACCACTTCAGTTGAAATTAACCTTGAAAGATTGCCATTCAATGACACTGAGTTATTAACAACTGTTTCTCTTTAATAATAATTAATTTAAACAGTTTCTCTTTAATAATTCTAACATTCTTGTTCTTCAGCACATGCTTAAAGAACTTCCCCTCTGACTTGGCTGCCTTTGTTGGTAAACTTGTTTATCAACAGTAATGTTTTTTTGCTTTTAAATTATGATGCAGCTGTCAGAAATAGTATGAATCCGAATAAAAAGTTTCTATTTTCCAAATTCTGGAAAGGGAATGATTACCTGTTTTTTAGTCCTTGTTCCATAAGTCATAAGCAAGAAACTATAGAATCAGTTTTAAACCTGTCCTGGCTGGGTTTGGTGGCTCATGCCTATAATCCCAGCACTTTGGGAGGCTGAGGTGGGAGGATTGTTTGAGCCCAGGAGTTCGAGACCAGTCTAAGCAACATAACAAGCCCTCATCTCTACACAGAAAAATTAAAATAAAAAAAAATTAGCTGGGCATGGTGGCATGTGCCTATAGTCCCAGCCGCTCAGGAGGCTGAGGTAGGAGAATTGCTTGAGCCCGGAGATCAATGCTACTGGGAGCCATGATCATGCTACTGCACTGTAGTCTGGGCAACAGAATGAGACCTTAAATCGTAAAACAAAACAACCCTCCCCTTAAAACCCGTCCCAATCAAACAGTAACTGCTTTGCTCCAACAGCCACACATCTGAAAGTCAGCCAATCAGTGATAGCTCCATGTTTCTGAAAGGCCGACAATTAACTGCAGCCTCCCTCCAGTAATCATGTTTCTACTCCTGCTTCTGACAATCCTCCAACCTCTAAACACTATAGCTAAAAGTGAGTCAATCCCTAAAACATTCGTTTTGAAAATATGCCAATCCCTGACAGTCAAGTTTCTCAAAACCCTATATAATCAGCTCTTGCTTTGTTCAGAGAAAATGTCTTTTGTAAGTATCAATCTTTTCGCTTAGCAAGAATGATGGTCTCTTCCTCAACATTTAAGGTGCCTGTGTTAATTTTGAGGACCCGCACTTGGTGGCTTTCTGCGGACTCTTAGAAAAACAAGTACACTCACTAAGCCCTTTTGGTACATAATTCTGATTCCCTTCTGGATTCTCTGCTTGGGAGTTGGTATCAAAAACATATGTGTTGTAACTTGTTTCACTTGTGTTTTCTTTGCTAAATTAATTTTGTTATCTATATAAATTTGTTATCTATATAGATTTTTTAAAATTGGCATACAATTCACCTACATAAAATTCACCATCTTAACCATTTTAAGGAGCATAATTTCAATGGTTTTGGGTATCCCACAGACACAAGGTTTTAGATACTAGAGTTTACACAGATATTAGAGTTTTGGGCTTAGAGTCACCCAATTTGGTAAGTTCTCTTGCAAAAATCTGCTTATTCTTTTTCTTCCTTTTTGAGTTGGAGTCTCACTCTGTTGCTCAGGCTGAAGTGCAGTGACACACTCATAGCCACCCCAGTGTCAACCTGCTGGGCTCCGGTAATCCTTCTGCCTCAGTCTTCCAAGTAGCTGAAACTATAGGCGTGCATTACCACGCCTGGTTAATTTTTTATTTATTGTAGAGATGAGGTCTTGCCAAGTTGCCTGGGCTGGTCTCATGCCCACGGGCTCAGACAATCTACTCACCTCGGCCTCCTGAAGTGCTGGGATTACAGGTTGAGCCACTGGGCCCGGTCTACTTATTCTTTTGATAAATTCTTTTTTTTTTTGGTAATAGCTTTACTGGAAACCATATAATCCACCATTTCAAGTCTGTAATTCAATGGTTTATATAGTATATTCATAGTTACATGCACTCATCACCATAGTCAATTTTAGAACATCTTATCACCTCCAAGAGAAACTCCCCAACATTTAGCTACTGATTCCCATGTCCCCGTTCCCTGTAGCCCTGACAACTGCTAGTTTACTTTCTGTCTCTACAGATTTACCTATTCTGGACATTTAATATATATGAAATCATATAATATGTGGTCTTTTTGTGATTAGCTTTTACTTTGCATAATGTTTTCAAGATTCATCCATGTTGTAACACATATTAGTATTTAATTCCCTTTAATGGGCCAAATAGTACTCTATTGTATGGATATACCACTTTTGTTTATCCATTTGTCAGTTGATGAACATGTAGGTTGTCTATTTTTTGCTTATTAGGAATAATATTGCTATAGACATTCATGTGCAAGTTATGGTATAGACAGATGTTTTTATTTCTCTTGGGTATGTTCCTAGGACTGGTGTTGTTGGATAAAAAAATAATGCTAAGTTTAACCAGTTAGGGAAATGTCAGGCTGTTTTTCAAAGTGACTGCACTATGTGATCCCACTAGCAGGGTATGAGGATTTCTCCACATCCTGGCAAACATTTATTAATACCTGTCTTTTGATACTATCCTTTCTAGTGAGTGTGAAGTGATATCTCACTGTGGTTTTGTTTGCATTTTCTTGATGACTAACAACATCAAACACTTTTTCATGTGCTTTTTGGTCATTTGTACATCTTTTTTGGAGAAATGTCTGTTAGATCCTTTACCCATTTTTTAAGTTGGGTTGTCTTTTTATTTTGTCTTTGTCTTTTCATTGTAAGAGTTTTCACATATTCTAGAAATAAGTCTTTTATCAGATACATGGCTTGCAGATATTTGTTTCTCATTCTGTGGGTTGTCTTTCATTTTCTTGATACAGTAGTATCCTGTGAAGCGTGAGAGTTTTAATTTCGATGAAGTTCAATTTATCTAGTTTTTCTCTTGCTGCTTGGGCTTTTGGTGTCATATCTAAGAAACGAATCCAAGATCACAATGGTTTTCTTGTAAGAGTTTTATAGCTTTAATTGTTACATTTAGGTGTGTGTTTTGAGTTAATTTTTGTATATGTTGTGAGATTGGAGCTGTTAAAATACTTGGGAGGTCATTAAATTGCAGCAGCTCCAGCATCCTAGATTCCTAGGTAAGCAAACCCAAATCCAACTCAGTGTAAACAGTAAAATGAAACTTAAGCTTAACCCATCAAAAACTGCCAACTTCCTTCTAACTAAGGGCCTTCTACTGAAATGACCCAAACAAGACTACTGCTCCACTTTAACCAATCAAATGTTCTCTTTGCTTTGGTTAACTCTTAAAAGCCTTCCTCTTGTCTTCCGTTGGCAGAGTCCTGAACTGCAAACAGACTGACACTGCCTAATTTCTGAACTGAAATACTAAATTTTAATGTGCCTTAGTTTATTTTTTAACAGGGTCAAACCTCATTTTTTTGTATATGGATATCCAGTTGTACCAGTAACATTCTAGTATGTATTTTATTTAATTAATTTTTTAAAATTCTAATTCTAGTATGCATTTTATTATTTATTTATTTTTTGAGTCAGAGTCTCACTCTGTCACCCAGACTGGAGTGCAGTGGCCGCTCCCAGCCACCGCAACCTTGATCTGCTGGGCTCCGGCGATCCTTCTGCCTCAGCC